ACTGCCGCAGAAGTACTTTTCCGCAAAGTCGCCCATTCGGTGACGGTCCAACGAGACTGGCCAACAGCTCATCTGCCCTCTTCAAGCCGAAGGTCCTTTTCATCTCGACCCCCGACCAGCCTAGACTCGAGCAGACGGCCGCATGTCAGCTACCTTTCAATGTTTGGCAAGAGATGAATCAGTCTTAAATGAGACTTCCAGTCGTCCCAGATCGCATAAACTAACGAAAAAGTGCTGATGCCATTTTGCTGCAACGCCCTACCGAAATTGTTTGAATACATCTCGTAAATATGATCTATTGATAGCCTCAAAAGCCTACTTAATAACCGAAAAATAAGTGGAAGTTATATTTAATTTTCATTCGGTTTTCATCGCCCTAAACAAAATAGAGTCAACACTACTCATGAGTAGAAGTTGTTTGACCCTATTTTCGCGACTTGCTCGTATTTTCACAGCGACCTGGAGGGACGCACCTTGTCCGAAACTCACGGCAGCCATCAAAATGACCAGACTCGGACCGTGGACCGACAGACGATGCCAACTACGATGCAGGCGAAGCGTTTGCGAATGTACCAAGTCCACGTTCTGACAATGGATTTGAGACAGACTGCATCCAACCAGGTCGTCTAGGCAACACGAAAATGCCGCATCTGATGAGCAAGGTATAGCCTTGCTTCGCAAAAGGTATTCTCATCATCATCGTCATCGTCATCATCATCATCTCAAACAAAATTGGATGAATACGGACGTTAATCAATTGTCAACGTCGTTTTTTATACAAAATGTTCTATTCATTATTATGAGTCTTTTGTGGAATTATCCGAAACTCACTTATTCGCCATCTTTGTTTTTAGGCACAAACTTTATCCAAACGATTCATTTCCGCTAAGAAGATCAAGTCCCATCCCTCTTTCGAACGGGACTCGGACGTCGGGCAAGCGGGACGATTTCGAGACAGTCAACAGCTCTTGCAGTACATTTCATTCGGTCGGAAGAGGCGAGCAGAAGGGATTCGTAAGTTGGTTCCACCGGCTTCCGTTGCAACTCGTAGGGGATACTTCGAAGCCCAATTCTTCTACAGGCCTCGTTCATTTTCGTCGAGAGTAGATGTCGAGACTGCTCGTAGAGCCAGCATAAGGACTGCATTCATGCTATTTCGGTGAAGTTGATGAAGATGATGAATGCTACTTGAATTTCCCGCAATCACGTGACTGGGCCACATGCTTCGGCGGAATTGCCCATTGCTTCACTTGGCAAAAGATGTTCTCTTTTCGGCCGCCAGCTCGAAAGTGCAGTTCATTTGGGGACGCGGAGAGAATGTTTTTGGGGGGAAATGGGGCAACGGGGCCAAGCAAACTGAGTGTGGCACAATCCGGCCACTGCTCCTTCGTCAACTTCACAGAAATCGGATGAATGCGGCAG